AAGCAGCTCTGTTGTCCTCCATCCATATTTTCAGTTACAGGCTGAGTCATTTCTACCTTCTCCTCTCTGTCAACGCTCTCTGGTTTCATTTAAAAGAGCCAAATTGTCAGATATTGTCCAAGATTAACCTTCAGGGTGGATATAGCTCGCTAGCAGCCTCACACTGAGGACCTATCCACATCATAATTTACCCAGAATGCTTCGCGTGTAAATAAAATGACCCCGTCCATGTAACGTTTTTAAACTTTTAGTTTCAAAATGATAAAAACGAAACAGACTACAGTATTTTTACAGTCTTTATTTTACAGTTAAAATATATGTTTATCAAATAAAGTCTAATGTTACAACTAATCGTTGATCCCTTTAACTCGTGTTTTTTTTATTGTCGTTATCGTGCATAAATCTTTCCGAAGACATTACACCATCTGTTAAATGATCATATAACTGCATATCATGTGTCCATTAGATGTGAAGCCCAARCCTGAGGCGGCGCTTCAAAGCGGAGAGCATCCGGGACAAGAGCACATAAATGGAAACTCTGCTAATGATATGGAAGAGCTGGAGGASGATGATGACTCCGACAGCAGCAGTCCCCCACTTCCCTACCTGCAAGCTCCGGCACCAGATGGCTGCTGCACGCTTGATGGTATCATTTCTATGCATTGAYGATACGACAAGATCTGAGGATTTGYTCCAAAAGTTGSTTTTGCAAAAGATCCATAAATAGGCGTAAAGCAAATAAGAGAGTGGAAAATGCTTAAGCTTTGAATTATTTTGTCAAATCTCACATTTTATTCTTGTTCTGACTGAAAAAAGAAAAAAAAACTTCCTCCTTCCGTAGGGTTCTGTCAGGCCGGAAAGGACCTCCGTCTGGTCACCATTGCAGCAGAGTCCATTGAAGTCCCAGCAGGCTTCGAGCTAGTCGGCGCYAAGTCCCCCAGCATCCCCGAGCACATCCTGGTGTGTGCTGTGGACCGCCGCTTTTTGCCCGACGAGAATGGGAAAAATGCACTTTTAGGTCAGTTTGCTCTCACAGACGCAGACGTGCTCCGCTGTCTGCAGGTCCGTGGAAACTCTGTGGAGACGTGGTTCTGAAACGACATGGTGACTCGGTCGTTGTGCTTCCAGGCTTTTCCGGAAACTGCGTGGGCTGTGGGGAGAAGGGCTTCAGATACTTCACGGAGTTTTCCAATCACATCAACTTGAAGCTGTCCACGCAGCCCAAGAAGCAGAAGCACTTAAAATACTACCTGGTGAAGAACTCTCAGGGTGCTCTGTGCAAAGGACCCCTCATCTGCTGGAAAGGTTCTAAACWACTTTGATTTATATTCATTCATAGAGCAAAAAGTTGGATTTTACTTATTTATTATACTATATATATATTCATACAGT